TCATTACCTTTGTTTTCCCTTCCATGTTCCCTTCCATGTTCAGTTCCATCCCCTTTCTTTCTAAGTATCCCTCTAACCTACTTATCATGGCCCTCATCTCTTGTTCCTCTTCTGTCATCATTACAATGTCATCTGCATATGGCAGCGTATATTTTTTCCTCCTACCCTCACTCCTCCCCACCTCCCCTTCGCTATTTCTTCTTCTAAGTCAGCTAACAATATATTGAACAGAACTGGACTTAACGGGCACCCCTGCCTCACTCCTCTCGTTGTCCAGAATTCCTTCCCCATTGTCTTCCCTATCCTCACCCTACTCTTCATTTCCCTCATCATTTCCTCTACCCTTTCTATCAAACCCTCCCTCACTCCTCTTTCCCTTATTACCTTTACCAGCTTCCCTCTGTCTACCGAGTCGAATGCCGCCTTAAGGTAGCCACAAAGATAGTTGTCATCTTACCCCCTTTTCTTCCCAATTACCTGTTTATCAGGTAATTTAGCGCATACACCTGGTTCATTGCCTCCATCCCCTTTCTGAATCCCGTGTGACTTCCGGAAAGTATATTTTTCTCTTCTAACTCCTCCTTTAGCCTTTCTGCCACTATCGCTGCGTATATCTTGTAAAGCGACGGCATTATTGTCACCTCCCTGTAATCCGTCACCTTCTCACCTCTTCCTTTCTTCAATACCGGAACTATTACCCCCTCTTTCCAATCTTTCGGCCACCCCTGCCCCCTCCATACCCTCCTACATACTTCCCACGCCCAACTTTCCACCTCCTCTCCTCCATATCTCCATACCTCGTTTAGTATCCCATCCCTTCCCATCGCTGTTCCGTTTATCCATCCTCTTTATAATCCCTTTTACTTCCTCTCTTCTTATCTCCTGCTCTCCATCCTCCTTCCTTCTGCTATCCTCACCTTCTTCTCCCCCTCTCCTAGTATTCCCATGAAGTGCTCCTTCCACTCTTCCATCCCAATCTCCTCTTATATTCTCCTTCACCTCTTCTTTTCCCTCTTAACAATCTCCCATATATCTCTCCCTTCTGTCCTTAGTCCTTCTACTTCTCTTTCCATTCTTTCCATTCTTTCTCACCTTTCCCTTTTCTTCCTGTCACATAACTCCTTGTATTCTTTCTTCTTTTTTCTGTATCATTTCCTATTCCCCCCTCCTTTTCCTCCAACTTCTTAGCATTCCTCTCACTTCCTTCTTCTTTCCTCTACATTCTTCGTCCCATCATCCCCTTCCACCCACTTTCCTTTCTGCCCTCCCTTCCTCCCTGTTTCTCAGTGCCTTCTTTATCCTATCATTCACTACTTTAAATTTCTCTCCTCTACCCCCCTTCTCCCTGTATCCTTCCTAGCTCCATCCTGAATTCCTCTCTTCCTTCGTCATTCCATTTCCCCCTGCTCATTCTCTCTTCCTTCTCTCTCTCCTTCCTCCTCCATCTACTCTTTCCTTTTATCCATACCCTTAATGAGTGATGATCCTATTCTATCTCTTCTCCTACTTCTATCCTTTCCACTTCCTCTATGACCTCCCCATTTCCCAGTATATAATCTATCACCGTCTCTCCCCTCCCCCTGTGTATGTGAACGGGAGTTCACATACCCCTTCCTCATCTCCTTTCATTCCCCCATTCAAGATCGCCCATCCCCTTTCTTCTATTATCTGCATCAATCTTTTTCCTTCTTTGTTTATCCTTCTTTGTTTTCCTTCTTTGTTTATCCTTCTGTCCTTTGATTTTCTTTTTCCTCCTTCCTCTCTCTAGTCCTCGTTTTCCCTCCATCCTCCCTCCTCTCCCGTTCTCACATTGAAATCCCCTCCTATAATCGTTCTACTTTTTCTCTTCTTTCCATTTATTTCCTTATACCTTCCATCTTTCTTTCCAGGTTTCCGTTCACATATACCCCAATTATCCTCCATTTCTTCTTTCCTTTCCTTATGACACATTTTATTCTTCCTTCCTGCTCCTCCCCTCCTCCTCTTCCTCTTCTATCCCCTTCCTTATCCCCATTAGCATGCTCCCCCTAGCTTTTCCCTTTTTATTTTTTCTTGTGGCTAGCTGTACTTTCCATCTAAATTCCTTTAGCAATTTTCCCCTTATCCTTTCCCATTCCTTTCTCTCCACCCACGTTTCCATCAGTGTTACTACATCCCATTTTTTTATTCCTTCCCAAAACCTTTTATCCTTTTTTGCCACTCTTGCTACGTTCCAAAACATCATCTTCCATCCATTTTCCCTCTCTTCTCTCCCGTTCCCCTCTCTCCTCCTTATTCCCCCTCCTCCCTCCTTTCCCTTCCCCCGTCTCTCCCCATATTCTTCCCTCTTCGACCTTCAATTTTTCCTTCTAATTCCACCTCCACCATTTTCTATCTATCCTTATTTTCCCGTATTTCACCCACACGTTTTTCCCTCTTCCCCTTTCCTCCTTCGCTATCTCTTCTAATCACCATCTCATTTTCCTCTCTCTCCATGTCAAGTCATCATCAATCCTTATATCCTTCTCCCTTAATTCTCTTTTTCTTATCATTATCTCCTTTTTCCCTTCCACCCCAGATAGCCAAACTTGCGCGAGCAGATTTCGAACAAAGCCTGCTATTATAGTTTGATGGCAAATAGGCAACAAATTTAACGCAGAATCTGTTATATCAAATTATGCTGCCAATCTACGGTCAAATATGCGCCAGATCCTGCTGTCGGATATTTGACGACAGATTTGTAGCAAAAACCGCGCAAGACTTGCAGTAAATTGACGGCAGATTGGCAGCAGAAACCGAGCAAACTCTGCGCGCAGACTCTACGCGTAGTTTGGCAGCAGGACCTGCGCGGTTTCTGCCGACAATCTGCTCGCACGACCTGTCACATAGGTCCTGTCGATAAAACACGAGCCTAATGAGGACACAGATGGCTATGGTTTTGATATGGAGATCTGATCGAAATTGGCGTCAATCTGCACGCATTCTGCTAGCATTTTGCTTACTGGGACTTTGCTTATTTTCACAATCCTCTTCCCCTTTTATGTCTCTTTCTCCCTTCCTATCCTTCTCACTTCCTCGATTTCTGCTACTATTCCCATTTTCTTAAACATCTCTCTCATCTTCTCCCTTGCCTCAATCTCCCCTCCCCTCACTCCCCTACTATCAAATTCTTCTTTCCTCTCTTTCTCTCATTTCTAATTTTCTCTTAACTCCTCTCATTCTTTCCCTCATGTCTTCGTTATTTTTCTCCCCTATCTTCTTCCCCCTCATTCCCCTCATCTCTTCTTCCAATCTCTCTATTCTTCCCCTCATTCCCTCTCTCTCTCTCTCTCTCTCTCTCCTCCATTCCCTCTCCTTTCCTCCCATTTGTTTCCTAAGTTCCTCCAATTCCTTTTTCATTTCCTTTCCTTGCTTTCTTACCTACTCCTTCAGTGCTTCTTTCATTTCCTGCAATCCTTCTTTCATCTCCTTCTTTCACTCCTCCATCATCCTATATTCCCACTCTGTCCTTCCCCCCTCTGTGGTGATCCCTAGTCTTCTCCCCTTTTTAAATGCAAACTTTTCTCCTCCATCTTCCCTTTCTCCCCTTTCGTCCTCCTTTGTTGCTTCCATCCTATCCCCTTTCCTCTTTGCTGTTTGCTCCAACAAGTTTTCCTCACTTCCCCTCCTCTCCCTGTCTATCACTACTCCTATGCCTTCCTTCACTATCAATTTCTCATATCTTTCCGCCATATTCTGCCCTTTCCCTTGACCATCCTCCTCTCCTCACTTTCCTCCTTTCCCCCCTGCCTTCCTTCCACTATTGAAACGTCCCCCCTAGTTATTCCCTGCACTCTCCTATCCTGCTTACCACTCTCGTCTAGTTCTATCCTCTCTAGTTCTTTTCCTCTACTTTCTATTCTCCTTACAGTTTCCTCTCTTACGTTTTCCCACTCTCTGGTCTTACGCACGCCCCGTCTTTCTTTCCACCCTAGCCTCTCTCTCACCTCTCACTTCTTCCACTGCTCCCTCCTCTCCCGTCTTTCCCTCCGCCACACCTATACTCCTCCACCTGCTTCACCTCCCTCTCCCCCCTCTCCATCGTCCTTCTACCACTCTCCCTTTTCCCTTTTACAGTCACTCTTCTACACTCCTTCTTTCTCACACTCACTCTCACTCGCTCCGGAAACGGAAGTCAGGTGGGCCATATTTATTATATATTACATATTTAATTTTTGTTCGACTGTTTCGTCATATATATTAACCTATACTAAGATATCGCTATTATTATAAATGATTCCAAATCTGATTCCAAATGAGCTATTAAAAATTAATTCAATAACTTAGAAATTTCCAAAGGTCGATAAGTTAATAAAAGTTAGGACACTATTATAATAATATATTCTTGATAGTAAATAAAGTAAAAAGTCTAGTACTATTTTTTCTTTCGACGAATTAGTGTTTCGAATAGTTAGTGAGATATTGTAATGTAAATGTTGGAAAAGTTACTAAGTTTTCCTTAAATATCTCAAAATATATTAAGCAAATAAAAAAATGTTTCAGACAAAAGTTGTTTAAATTAATTGGTAGAAAAAGATGATATAATAAAAAACTCGGATTTCCATTTAAGAAAATTGATAATCCGTGAATATCTCGAAAATGGCCATTTATTGGCGAAAATGGCTATCTACAATATAAACAAAATGCTATCGCTGTTCTATGTCCCCCTTCAAGCTAAACAACTTTTGTCTCAAGCATTTTTCCATTTAACGTAGTGTTTCTGAGATATTTGAGTGGGTCCTTTAAAATGGGACACCCTGTATAACTCTTTAATATTTCAATTTTCTTTATATTGATAAAAAATAATTTGTTTTTCTTTCTTTCATCCTTTATTATAATTTTGATTCTAGAATTATTACTAAATAATTATAAGCTTTTTTTATTAAATTATTTTTATGCAGATATGATTAAAAAATATATTGGAAAACTTTTAAATTAAGAATAAACAAAAATTAACATATTTCTTTGTGAAAATATCGTAGGGTAGTGAATTCGTTTATATCTACGTTTGCATCTTCTTGGGATTCGTACCGATTCTATGCGCCGCCGCAGGATATGGGCTAGTAAAGTTGCAGAACAGAAGACGACGAAGATTGAAGATACTTCAAGAGGCTATACAAAAACGAAGTGATGGTCGTATTTGCGTTGATAAGATGATTGTACGTGAATGGCTGCACGCAAACCATCGTCGTCTCGTAAAAGTAAAATTCGGGCCAGAAGCAGCATTGCACATTGTCGATCGAAAAGGGGAAAAACTGCGTACATTCGATTTCAGCGACGTCAATACTATAACTATGGAGGAATCACAGGTATCTTTTATAATTATAAAAGTATAGGTTATTTTTATATAAAACGCCTATAAAAACTACTACTGAAAATATTGGATTCATTTCTAACTTTTAAATTTTTCTGCTTTAATTTTTTTACTCCAAATTTCTTTTATTTTTAATTCATTGATATCAATATGAAATCTCTCCTGAATATAAAACCGCCATTCTTTTTAATTTAACTTATAAATATTTAACGTTAAAAGAATTTTATTTTAAGTTTGACAAATAAAATATTTAATGCAGAATATAAAAGAGAGATAAAGAAAAGATATATTCGAATGAAGTTTGGGAAGTCTAAGGAAAAATTTATTTTAAGTTAATGAAAGAATATGCGAGTAGATAAAAATTGTATTTAAACATATATGCATTATATATGTATACGTAAATGTAGTAATTGCACTAGTAATTCGCAAAATTATTATAATGGAATCGATTAAAATAATGTAATTATTAAAAATTGTATTATGATAATTTTATTTTATTACGTACTATTTTTTAATCTTCGTAGTCTTTTACTTTTGCTTTATACTAAATTACGATTGATTCATAACATATCACGCCGTGTATTTAATGATAATACAGTCTTGCGTAATTTTAGATTTTATCAGTTACAGAAATTACATGTGGTGAATCTTAGACTTTTTGATGCTGAAAACGTATCTGATCACGGAAATTCTAGCACGTCAGGTTTCAGAGTAATTTTAAGTTAAATGGTCAAAAAATGGCCATTTTGGTCAATTTTATGAAGTTCTTGTAAGGAAACAAATACTTTTTTTTATTTCGGAGAACAGCATTGTATAGTTACTAGTTAGTTAGCTTTGAAATATATTTTTGATTATCACTGTATGATTTGTTTTGACTGAGATATGTAAAATTGAATTTATAATACTTCTTTTTGTTCACGGGGAGGAAATCTTCATGGATATCCCCGTCCCTCTGGAGAGGGGCAGGGGTTATGCTGGACTTTCACCGGCTAAAATCCCCCCGAGATGTCTTCCAAGCGGGTAGGAGTGGGGGAAGCTGGAGAAACTACGCCAACATTCCCTTCCCAAGTTGACTGCTGTCTCTCTAACTAATCGTGGCGCTCGAACGAACACCAGAGCAGAGCACAGAGCAGAACCTCCGAATCGTTAATAATAATTCCATAGATTCACCTATGGAAACCTTGTTACGACTTTTACTCCTTCTAAATTATCAAGTTTGGTCATCTTCCTAGCAACATCAGCCCCGAGGTACTACTGCGCACCAGTCCGAAGACCTCACTAAATCATTCAATCGGTAATAGCAACGGTCGGTGTGTATAAAGGGCAAAGACGTAATCAACACGAGCTTATGCCTCGCGTTCACTGGGAATTCTTCGTTCTTGGGGAACAATTGCAAGCCCCAATTCCTAGCATGAAGGAGGTTCAGCGGGTTACACTGGCCTTTCGGTCAGGGAAAACACGTTGATTCCATAAATGTACCGCGCGTGCGGTTCAAAATATCTAAGAGCGTCACAGACCTGTCATTGTTCAGTATTGTGCAGCTAGAAGCGGCTGTCGCTCTAAGAAGATTTATTTACGTATACATTGGTAGTAAAAACCCGTCGGCCGAAGCCGGGGGCCTTCGCGATACTATAAGGTACGCCTATTTAGTAGGCTAAAGTCTCGTTCTGTTCGGAATAAGACCGAACATACGATAGCTCCGGAGAGCTGGTTGATAAGAAGGGATCGCAGAGCGACGTCCGCCTGCGCCCAGGCTGCTCGAGTCCGCTCGACGACCGACCGGTCGTCCTGATTGAAGGCCGGGGCCCCATAAGGCCCCGGCCTTCAACCACAGACCCTGCTGAACACACAACACCGCGCGCCGACGCGCCGCGCTCAGGGACGGCGGCGAAGCGATAGAGAGAGAGGACACGCACGCAATGATGTAGAGACGCCGATGTAAAACGCAACGAACGTAGTAGACGCAATAGAGTGTCGCGGAAGTAACGCAGTAAAACGCAATTGGAAAACGCAGGAGAATGACGCAACTATGTACAAGCGAACAACGTTCGCTAACGCAAGGTCCCGTAGGACACATGTCCGTGACGTCAACGCGGCACCCGGAGCACGTCAAGGACGTGTAACGAAACAACCTCCGTCGTTTCGGATGGCCTGCCCTTCCGGACTTAACGGCCAATAGCCAGCCACGGTCCCGAGGACGCGTAGGAAATGAGCTCTGAGAGCTCTGGCTCGCAGGACGACCGAATCGCTCCTGCGAGAAAGCCAAGTTCTCAACGGACACTTGGAAGAAAGAGCGTGAAAGCTCTAGGACGGCGACCGAGTCGCTTCTAAATCGCCAAGGCCCCCTACGGACGCTTGGGAAACAAGGGAGCTTGAAGCTCCGAGGAGACGGTCGAGTCGCTCCTAAGATCACGGCAACGTCGTGAGTCCGAGATCACAAGATGAGATTCGAACCATTAGCCTCAACCCAGCAGGGTGTATTGGCGCCACCTTCAACTCAGAAGAGTGTCTAGAGCAGTGGTTCGAATCTGAGACGGAAGACCGATCGCCCTAGGAAGCCTAGAAAGCGCGTTGGTAATCACCAGTACAATGGTGCACGAATACGTAGCACAACTTGCTACCCAACTGACCAGGCAAAAGACAAGGCAAGGCAAAAGACAAGGCACGGCGCGCCCGGTTATATAGCCGGGCGGCCGAATCTTGCCTGCGGGCAGCGGAATCGCGAGCCGCGCCGTGTAGCGGTCGCGGTTGGACCTACCGGGAGTCCCGCGCACTCGCTCGCGAGAACCCGCGTCCCCCGCCGCTAGCGAGAACCCCCCGGGAACCAGACCGCCCGCCCTGCAGCGTCGATTCGCACCGACTTTCCGTACGGCATCACGTGCCGTACGGAACACGTTCGTTACCGGAATTAACCAGACAAATCGCTCCACCAACTAAGAACGGCCATGCATCACCACCCACCGAATCAAGAAAGTGCTATCAATCCTTCCAGTGTCTGGGCTTGGTTAAGTTCCCCTTGTTGAGTCAATTGAGCCGCAGGCTCAGAAGAGCTTCACTCCTGGTGGTTCTCTTTCGTCAATTTCTTTGGATTTCATCTCTGCTATACTTCCCCGGGACATAAAAGCTTTGGTTTCCTGGAAGCTGTCCGCCGAGTTATCGAAGGAACTTCGACATATCGCTAGTTGGCATCGTTTATGGATTAGAACTAGGGCAGTATCTAATCGCCTTCGAATCTCTAATTTTCGTTCTTGAAAAAGGTGTGTGGGCATCCCCGAGGGGACGCCCCCAACCCCCCAGCAGGGTTCCCCCTCGGTGAGGAACCGAGAAATCCGGTGGGAAATCCTGCTAGCAAGTCCTAGAAGGGGACCGGTCTTCCCTTCTCGGAGCTATCCCTGGGTACGGCTTCATATATGTCCGCACTCGGTTCTTACCTCGGGTCGGGGCTATCCCCATCCTAGTGCGGGTGAGAGGTGGTCCCCATTTCGGAGTTTCCTCTTCCAGAAAGACTCTCTTCTCAGGATCTCAACTCCCTTCCAAAGGTTCCCCTTCAGAGGGTCGGCCCACCCCTTTCCGCTTCCACTAGGGCCATTGGCCGTCCCAACTCGATGAGCCATCGGTGGTGAAGCCTATTCGGCTGCAACCTTATCGGCAGTCCCATCGAGTGTGGGGTGAGCGCATATTGGGGGAGCTTCCTTGGTCAACCCCGCCGCTCGTCCCACCCTTCCTCCGCCAGGAGGGAAGTAGCAACCTCCACTTCCATTACATGCAACGCCTCAAAAGCATCCATTGGACTCCGCCGGAGTTTCGGCACAGGGAAAGGGGTCGGCGCTGCCCCATCGTCCGCCACTGCCGGTATCGCGAGTGGTGGAGATGCGTTGTCCGCATCCCCCCTTCCCTTTCTATTCAATTGTTGCTACATTTCCTGCTACTTTAGCGACGACGTTGAGATTGTGACCGCACGGACTCCCCGTCCGCGGGCGCAACCTACCCCCCCCCCTACCTGCCGCTCTAGACCCCGGTGTGCGCTTTTTGCGCTGTCGTCGAGGTTTCCTACCCGGGGCAGCGGCAGACCGAGGAACTACTCTATACGCCTGTCCCTCTATCCTGTGGCCCGGATTTCTGCTTGCAACCTCGCACGGGAGGCACCGCGGCTTTGCAGTGCACTCCCATGCGACGTGACCCGCCTCACCGCATCTGAAACAGTGGCGTCCGAGCCTTTTCTCGGCTCGGTAGGTTACTGCCATATGGGCAAAGGCCAAACAGGTGTAACATTGGATAGGGCAGTCTCCTGAGGATCGGACCTGGGCTTTGGCCCAATCAATTTACAGTTCCTGAGCTGCCTTGTGAGCTGCTTCCAGTGGTCATTGGACTCACATTGCACCGAGCCCTCCGGAGGACCTCCGGATCTTACCGATCTGAAGATCCTCCGGTGAGTATCCCCCAATGGTTCGTATCGCGTCCGCGACTGCGGGTGTCGAATCATCCAGGCCGACAAATCGGAACTCGGTCCTCTTCGCCGGCCTGGCGACCACTGCCTCCCCGCAAAGTGCATCTTCGAGCTCCCTGGCAAAGTGGTCGGCCTTCTGCCGACCATTCTCGTCAGGGATCTTGAGGATCACCACCCGTTGCACGCGCGTTTAATGCGGAATCCTCCGGGAGCAAGCCCGATTTCCCGGAAATCTACCCTTTTCTGCTTCTTCTTCATCACTTCCTTTATGGACATCCCCAGCAACGCGGTCATGGTAACGACCGGATTGCGCCGGGGGGCCTAAGTGTGGATTGTTTGAGTGGGGGAGTCTTTTCTTCGAGGCCTTCCCCTCTCCAACTTTCCCTCCCTTGACTGGGGAGGCTGCCGCCTTCTTTGCAACACCTCTCTCTTTACTTGTTTGAAGTGGTAGAGGCGGAAGCCTCTCCTCCTTACCCTTCCTTTTTCGGGTGGACACGAGTGTCCACCCATCGCATTGTCCTTCCCGCAGTCGCCATGTGCTGCTGCGG